AGATATGTCATGCTTCCAAGGATTGTTCTTCTGCCCTGAAGCTGCTTCATTGCTGCTACATAACTTCTGCATTTACCATATCAGTCCACCTGGGCACGAGGTCCATATTTAGTTTCTCTTTTAAGTTTGTTTGATGATTTTATTTGCCATAGGCTTTGCTTGGCGTGATTACTTACATTCGTTTTGTTGCATTTTCACGAAGAGTTCTTGCAGTTAGGAGCTGCTCCGATTTGTCCTAATGATTCAGCCCCTTCTGCTGATGACTTGGCAGATCAGATCCTTGAAGTTCTCAACTTTTTCGGGTAATGATTGAAGCTTTATCTGGATTGTTTAAGTTGCAGACATAAAAAAGCTTCCCTTTGTTTCTGTAATGAAAATGTTGTAACTAATATAAGCTTTTGTTCAGCCTTGGTGCTGTGATGTGTATGGGAGTGACTGCAGGTGCTTACATTCTCACCTTATTCGCGGTACGTTCCTATTTGTTTTTCACTTATCACAATCCGTTTCCTCAGATTAATATTGTGCTTATTATTTGTTCCATGTTTCTTAAAAAATCAGATGAAACATAGAGATCGGGTTCTCGGTTTGATTCTTGTCTCACCGTTATGCAAGGCGCCGTCTTGGTCTGAATGGTTCTACAACAAGGTTATCACAAACTTGTTGTATTTCTATGGGATGTGTGGGGTGGTAAAGGAATTTTTGCTTCAGAGATACTTTAGTAAGGTGTGTTACTGTTGCTCTATACTTGTTGCATTTCTCGTTCTTCTCTTATTTAATCTGATTGAAAAATCCCTTCTACTTGCAACAGGAAGTCCGTGGTAACGTCGAGATTCCAGAGTCAGATATAGCACAAGCTTGCAGAAGAGTCCGTTTTTTTTACTCTTTTTTTTCTTTTCCAAATTCATCAATACACGGATCTCTCTAAATCAGTAACTGACACCATTGTGCTATTGATAATTGCCTCAGCTGCTTGAGGAGAGGCAAAGTGTAAATGTAACGCGGTTTCTTGATGCCATTGATCAGTAAAACAACAACACCTTTAAGAATTCGTTATCTAAGCATTCATCTTTTCAAGTTGATGGAAACAAAAACATTTTGCTGTTGCAGGAGACCGGACATCTCAAGTGGATTGAAGAAACTGAAATGCAGGACACTTATCTTCATCGGAGATCAATCTCCCTTCTACTCAGAAGCTGTTCATATGGCAGCAAATTTGGATAGAGGATACTGTGCTTTGGTCGAGGTTTGAGAAACAGAATCCTTGAGCCTTTTTCTCAACATATAAAAACATTCGGTTTTCACATTTGATGTTTCACACTGATCAACAATTTGGGGTACTAAAATTTCAGGTGCAAGCTTGTGGTTCAATGGTAACAGAGGAACAACCACACGCGATGTTGATCCCAATGGAATACTTCTTGATGGGTTATGGATTATATAGACCATCTTGTTTCTCAGACAGCCCCAGAAGTCCTCTTAGCCCTTCTTGCATTTCACCTGAGCTTCTCTCTCCTGAAAGCATGGGATTAAAGCTTAAGCCTATCAAAACCCGGGTTAAGGCTTAAGCGCGTGTGCACTAACGGATTCATTGGTTCTAGTTTTGCTGAGGGAGAGAATCTTAGGGATCTTGTAGATATAGAACAAACACTAGGGAGATTTGAGGAGAAGAGGAAGAAGGAACATTCAAGCCATCCTTATATATATAAAACACATTCTTTTGTAGTCAGCCATGATAAAGAAAGACAACAGTTCTACCACAAATGTTGTTTTATTATTTCATTTTTTTTTATATATATATATGTAAAATGTTCTGTTGTTGTGACATTGTAACAATTGTTTTGTGATGGGATTCTGCGAATTATGTAATCAACTTCAGTAATAAATTCATTTTGCATACCATCAACTCGAACTGAGAGCACTTAACTTTCCATGAAATTTGATGCATTCATGATGGATAGGTTTAAGAGAAGCTTTTTTTGTTTGTAGGTTATTTCAAGTACCTATGGATGCAATGTAGCTGCGGGGCGTGTGTTAATCTGGCTTTCAAGTTCGAGCTACATAAAAGCCGATTAGAGTGTAGTAAATCCGAATCCGAAAACTCGATGAAGGAGCAGAGGTTAGTAAAACTCTGGTTGAATAATAAGATCAATTCAAGGCACTAATATCGTTTATAAATCCAACAAAGTTCACTCAGACATTTCATCAAACACTTACGGCAACACTCTCTATAAACTCGATTACACAAGTGAACAAAATCTAAAGGTTTTCGCTTTCAAAACACATAAACAATAACATCAAATGATGTAATCTGACCATTCAGAGATAAAGGAAGTATGATCCATCGATTCTCCGGGACATTCCTCGTCATGAGTCGTTGGTTTCTCTTTTCCTCCGACAAGTCTTGCCGGATTCCCAACCGCAGTTGCTCGTGGTGGCACGTCGATCAGCACTACAGATCCAGCACCTACTTTAGCTCCTGCTCCGATCTTCACATTGCCGAGAATAGTTGCTCCAGCTCCGATCAAGCAACCATCACCGATCTTCGGATGTCTATCTCCACAAGCTTTACCTGTTCCACCGAGCGTCACGTGGTGAAGTATTGAAACATTGTTCCCTATCACAGCTGTTTCTCCGACGACAACTCCGGTTGCGTGATCGAGAAGTATTCCTTTCCCGATCTTTGCCGCTGGATGGATATCGACGGCGAATACGTCGGAGATTCGTGAGTGTAGAGCTAATGCTAATGGCTTCCTCGATTGAAACCATAGCTTGTGAGAGACACGATGCGCCTAATTGA